GTCTTCCGTTTCCCAGAAGCTCCGCATTTGCAAAGTTACTACTTCCAGTACTGCTATTTCTACCCTGTCAGCAAGTCTGCTCCAGCGCTACTTCGAAATGAAATCGCATTTCGGCCGTAGCGCCTGTAGGCCGTTACGAATCTGACCCTTTTCGTTAGATCACAAACACGTGACGAAGAGGGTCGCTCGGGGTTCTCCTTCTATAAGGGGGTGTGGAGAGGGGCAGTGACACCGCTATTTTACACACCACGATGCAGTACCCTATTAGCGACCATGTTCCTGTGGAAAGCGAAAAATCTGCTCAGCAATGCTGCGAATCGCGTTGTGGGGGACGCGTCGAATGAGCCCTAGTAACTCCATTCAAAAAACCATTCTGTAAAATAGTACAGTAGGTTCGAGATCAGCGTCGCAACAAAAGGTTATATGACTGTCCACAAATGGCGTACATCACTTTACAAATGGCCACTTTGATTTACATAGCAAACTCTTGAAAGCTACTCCAAGTATATTCAAAGAACTCATAATTATTAATACCTAAAACATTCTTCTGAAAAGTGGTCCGTGCAAATAAGGCCTGTGCTCAACATGACGGATCCATCACGCATTCGCAACATATCCTAAGAACAGAAATAGCGAGAAAAGTAAAGAAAGACAACTAAGAAACTCACCGAATATTTGAAGCCCAGCATATTTCCCCACAATCGCCGCCTGTCTAAATCGTCAGGGAAGTTCAAAAACATTTCCCGATCGGCAATAGTTCGGTGGCAAACCACACATACTGAATTGTGTCCACGCTCATAGACCTTCAAGGAAGACATTATCAGGTTTGCATTGGAATGAACTATAAGGTACAACTACCGAAGGTGCTTTCTTCTGAGCTGATTCGCAAGTAAAAATACTGAGTTTGCCATCAGGTCGCTTCGAAACACGAAGCATCTCTCCGCCTGCGTTCGACTTGGTCGCACGAGACATGGAATCCATGTTAACGTCAGGAGGAATGCTACTGTAGATAACGGAGACATTTGCAAACGCCTTCTCTTCTAAATAGAAACATCATTACAAAAAGGTTTTCGAAATAATGAGACTGAAAAAGATGGATGAACCTGAAGAGGCACTAGTAGGTTCTCCAATATTGGTAAAACTAGGCAACACAACATCATCCTTAGCTGTCTCCTTCATCCCTTTGACTAGAAATTTTACCTGAAAGATCCCGAAGTTAGGTCAGAAGCGCTTCTGGAGAAATAACGACTTCATATCGACATGCCATAAACAAGGAAATGAACGACATGCTTGGCGGATTGGAACGAACATCAGGTAAATAGACAAATAAATAAAAACTGAAGTTAGGATAGATCACTTGCGTGCCTTCCGATGTAAATACGGGAGATGAAAACGTGACAGCTCTCATGAACTATCTGTAGTTAAAGGGTTGGCTCCAATGATATTAGACTGGACCAAAAGCTTTACCCCAGGATCCATTTGATCTAGTGTTTCTTAGGCCTCCAGGTTGAATTTTATCGCACACCGTGATCGCTCAAGTATGCTCCTCTCAATCAAAGGATATCACAGACATGCGCCTGGCAGACAAGGGTAAGAAAACTGGTCACGTGCTCAGCTTAACGACAATGCCCGACTTCAGACGGCAACGAACTAAGGAAACTGCTCGCTCTGGGGCTTTTTAACGCATGGTTCTCATTCTCCTAACTTATCCGCGTCTAACCATCGTCTGTTGGGAGCAGTGAAGCCGCAGAGAGCGAAAACTGGATGACTAGGAGTTGAAAAGTGGTGTTTCGCGGTCTTTCAACCCACAGCCCCAGAGCTCCGCAGTTTGGATGAGGCAAACTAGCGGAAGTAGGGCAGTGAATCAACGTGATCCTAGCTTTATGGATATCTACGAACAATAAAGTTGCAATAAAGTTGTTGCAGGGCAATAAAGACAATAAAGCTGTTTCATTCGCGAGCTTGAATAAGGACTTTTGTTTTTCTCATAAAGTGGTTAAAAGCTGACTACCACCAAAAACCAGTAATATGAGCATTTTGACAGAACAAATCTATTAAACGTCCATGAACAATGACGTAGTGTAAAGCAACAGCCTCATAATAACAGACGAACTTCCGAAAACCCCGCCCATTCCCCGAGGAAACTCGTACGCAGGATCCGCCTTAGTACACCGATTCAAAGAATTTCTCCCAGACTGTATCGCTCGTTCCGTGGTTCAAAGGGATTAAGCAAACCTTCTCACCTAGCAGGAAGTATTCGAGCACTCACAAGCATGTGAAGGTATGTCGCTAATGACAAACTGGCCCACCTATTGACTTTGTTACTTTAGGTCCGTTTGCTTTTATATTGAAGACTATTCATAACTCAAGAAGCACCCTTCCCCTGAAGAAATGTGACGCATTCCCACGAAATCCCTAGTCGAGACCTATGCCGTGACCGGAATGAACAGAACTATCCATTGTGTGTTTAGGGGGTGCTGGACGAGTTCCCCAGAACACTTGGCGGAGAGACAGCTGGCTGCTTGCCATCTATCCTATCTGTGTGGGACCTACTTGCAACTTTTGAAGAGCTTCTCCACTTTTTCATGTATGTTTTTTTTTTTTTTAGTGGTGATTATGCTGCCATGAAGGCACGTCTGTGTGGGACCTACTTGCAACTTTTGAAGAGCTTCTCCACTTTTTCATGTATGTTTTTTTTTCTTAGTGGTGATTATCTTGCCATGAGCACATCTTGTTCTCAGATATATGAAAACTGAGTAAAGTTGTCGCTACAGCTCCATCCTTAGCTAGGCCCATGGTTCACAAGGAACCGAACAGGCGCGCTTGCTAATTGCGTCCTTTAATAAGATGTTTCGAGATGCGTTCCCCTTCACTCTTGAATCTCTCTTGCAGAGGCACTGGTCCTCATTCGGTGGCTCTGTTCACACTAGTGTTCTTGTAAGATTTAGTATTTCTAATATCTCGAAAGCAACTGACTATCTAACAATTTTGGGGTGTTCAAGTGTGTAAGGGCACATCCAAGCTGGGGTAAAGCTGTCGCAAGCAGTCAGTTGGAATTGGGTGGAAATCTCTGGGACCTCTATGGAAACGGTCTCTATCGCTCATCTGTATAGTTGCAGGTTCCTTGCCTTCTTTTTGTTCAAATAGCGCACGCGAGCTCTCAAATTCGCACGCCAATAATCATTGTTTGTGATTTCGCATGCCATTATTATGGGGTTTTGTTCCAAACTTTTTCTAATTGTGACAGTTGATGAGAAACTTACCGCAGAAAACTATTGCAACATTTTCTTCTCGAGTCTTTATTATATAAGATTTAAATAAAACACCGTGCATAAACTGGGAAGGGAGGTCGTTCAGGGCGTGGTGCGCTTTTCGAAAACGGTTTTTTGCATATTGTAGGGGCTCATGCAAGGACCTGAAAAGTGTGCTTCATTTTCGCTGCGCGCTTCCAGGAAAGGTAAAAAACGAGTGAAAAGAAATCTTTGGAATCTGCTTCGTTCTGGGCCTCTGTGCGCTGTAATTCACATGCAACCTTGATCAGTTGCTGATGGGGGTTGGGGTCTTTATAAAAGGAGTATCGAAATCGAAGTGAAAAATCGCCACAGTTGAGGGTCTAACTTGAGTCACGTGCATACGAGTGAACGGCACATTGTAACAAGCAAAATTTTATCCCCGTGCGGACCCGAACCGTCGCCCTATTCTTTTACGCTTTTTTTCAACTCAGGCGCGCAACGAAAATGAACCTCAGTTTTCTGGTCCTCGTATGTGCCCCTACAATATGCACAAAACCATTTTGAAAAATGCTGCACCACGCCCTGAACGACCTCCATTGTGAGTATACTCTAATTCGCTGCAGACGGTTGGGCGTGTCAGGCAGTATGAGTGTCACACCGTCAAAGCCGTTCTCTGCCTTCTTGTTGAAGCGCGCATGCGACAAAAGTGGATAGAAAATACGAACGATATGATACAGTCTTATCACTTGCTCGCTTTAGCAACTGGTGGGAGGGTTTGGCACCGCGCCAAACTCATCCCGCCTGACACGCCCAACCGTCCGCAGCGAACTACACTCTAGTTCGCTGCGGACGGTTGGGCGTGTCAGGCAGTATGAGTGTGTCACCCGTCAAAGCCGTTCTCTGCCTTCTTGTTGAAGCGCGCATGCGACAAAAAGTGGTAGAAAACGAGTAATACGAACGATATGATACATATCGTCATTATTCGTCATATCACTTGCTCGCTTCAACAGTTGGTGGAGAACGGGTTTGGCACCTTTGGCACCTCGCCAAACTCACCCAGCCCGACACGCCCAACCGTCCGCAGCGAGCTATAGTGCACACTATAGCTTCCTCGTCTTTGGCTCAAAAAAAGCTCAGATTTGCTCTGGAGATCTAGAAAATTATCTTCTGGTTTCCAGTTCATGTTTCTATGCATGTATTACTAATAGAACGAAGAAAGGTACAAAAATACGCGAACATTTGGCTTTGTACTAGCTTCTAGCACACGTTTGTGGGTCCTATGCTAGGGCGGCGAACCTATTCGGCGCTAAATTGACGAATCAAAAATGCCCATAGCGGTTCTAAGGTGACCACTGTGGGTAATATCAGCTAACTGACGCGCATACATCCCATTTTGCCAGGTTATCTCGACAGCTAACGGTGCGGAATCTGATCGTGCTGATTCTTGTAGTCTCTGACTTTGCCAAGTGCTGCATATCATATTGACTCCTGCGAATTCTGCGAATCTCGAATCCTGTTCTGAATAGGAAGTTTTCCTTTTTCCGTGTTCTTCCATTCGACGCCACCCTAATTCTTTTCTTGGCAGCGTTCAGACTTCGCGACGGCAGCGCTTGGTCGCGCGTTCGACGCGATCGATGCAGTAGAAAGCATGCGCATCGATCGCGCGAACGCGCGACCGAAGCGCTGCCGTCGCGAAGTCTGAACGCTACCTGGAACCCGCTTCCTGGAAGTATACTTGTCAGCCTGCGATTAGAAAAATCGGTAGTGATCAGTGGTCAAAATTTCATCGGTACCTTTGTAGCCTTTTCTCCTGAGCAGCGAATTCCTCACAGATTCACAGATTTCCTCTACGATGACTTCTACAGAATTCCACACTCTCCAGAGTTGCAAAGAATTAGCGCGGTTTCTACCTTTCAAGTTATCACAAAAGTACCGTGCTCAACGTTTTTTCGTGGTTCTATATTTAGCACTTTCTCGTTCGTCGTTTTCATTTTACATTTCTGCAATTCACTTTCAGATGGCTTCCATCCAATGCCTCAACCCCAAAGCGGAACTTGCTCGACATGCCGCTGCGCTAGAGCTCAATATCAGCGGGGCGAGAGGACTACAGGAAGTGATGCGGTCGAATCTCGGACCCAAGGGTACCCTTAAGATGTGCGTTTTTTTTGTAGAATTTCTCATTGTCGCTCAGAATTGAGCAGGCTGGGTGTTGGAGCCGGTAATTGGCATGCCGTATTAGGCGGACTGAAGTTACCCGGCGCCACTGCACCTCACTGAGATCGGAACCCGAGTCCCTGTGAGTAGATCGCACATAGGAAAGTTCAAAAGTTCGTGTCATGGAGCTGGAGCCGCTGCTCAAGTCTAGCTTGAACTGAAATCAAAAGTTTACACGATGTCGGCCTCAAATTACCCACACCGCTCCACCTGAATAGACCATATAATATGTTTTCAATTATGAACACACTCTCAGGTGTCATTCCATTGCTTCAACGACTCCTGACGATAGAAAACAAATTTAGGTTGGTATCAGGAGCAGGCGATATCAAGCTCACGAAGGATGGCAACGTTCTTCTTCATGAAATGGTAATATTACCATAAGTTTTCCAAAATGTCATAACTGGCTCTAGAGTCATAGTGTTCTCATTTTCCTTACCTTTTTAGTCTATCCAACATCCAACTGCGTCACTGATTGCAAAAGCCTCCACGGCTCAAGATGACATTACTGGCGATGGTACGACGTCAACGGTTCTTCTGATTGGTGAATTGTTGAAGCAGGCCGAGACTTATGTTCTCGAGGTGAGGCCTTCGTTGCGAATCTTTTTTTTCCTTCCTAATCATCTTCGTTCACTGCTAGGGTGTTCATCCACGTCTGATTACTGAAGGATTTGAATGGGCGAATGAACGGACTTTGGAACTTTTGGAGAAATTCAAGCAGGAGGTTAGTTAGCAGATTTTGTCTTTATTTTTCACGGTACACATTGCGGACATAGGGCCGTAGCAGGCGCATAAATGAGGGAACACTATGAGTTCTTGAGCAAATACAATATTGTGCGATTGTATGATCCCTATTGGCGGATAGATGGGTACATATCTGAGCTGCTGGTTCTCCGTGAAAATCTCTCTTTACGAGTAAAACTGAGAAAGTCTGCGGTGGCATGATTAATACCCATTGAGCGTTTCTTGTCTCTGTGGATTCTTGGAGTTCCCCTTCTATCCTAAAAGAATTCGATAGGAGACCACAATTCTTTGCTCCATAATGAAATCATGTGTCTGGATTTCTGCTGCATTTTGCTTTTTTAGAGAGGTTAGGCATCAGCAGGGTGAATCCATGTTAAAATTTTGTTGGGTTGATCGCATGACTGTCTTCATTTTTTTAGCCTTTATATTGACGCTTTCCTTTTTATTTTTCAAGAAAAAAAACTAAGGTTTACATGGCTCGCGCGACCCATTTTAATCTTCTTTTATCAACAACTGCTGTCTCGATTTCAGATCACCATTGACCGCAATGTGCTTATTGAAGTGGCCCGAACTTCTCTTCGTACGAAACTTCATCACAAACTTGCTGATCACATCACAGAGTCTGTTGTTCTAGCAGATGTACGATGTAAAATCATGCATTATCTATTTTTAATTGTAGATGCGTAGTCGACGCTGTTCTGGCTATTCGGCAAGGCGACGCGGAGCCTGATTTGCACATGATTGAGAAGATGGAAATGCACCACGAGAGTGATATGGACACAACTCTTGTGCGGTAAGATAAGTTTTGTTGGAGATCTGTGCCTGATTTAGAGATCATGGGCGGTATAGTTCAGAATGATCCCTTTCTGCGATTTGGTGGAAGTCGCTTTCAGTTGAATAGGATTAAGAGTACCATGTATGATTCCAGAATTAGTGAAATGGGGTAACGGCGTTCAACTATGAGTTGAATTGCGAAATGGCGTGTTCGTGAAGACTGAGGAAAGGAAACGCTCGAAAACGGTCAATTAGACCTTTTTGTTCTGTGTATTGAAAGAGCATACGGCCGAGATAACACGTTCATGTGTCAGTTTTGTTAATATCACGACGAAATCAACTCTTCATACTATCGCGCCACTTTCACTGTTGCGATACTTGTCAG